GTGTTCCTGCAGCCCCTTATCACCGAGATGCACCTGCGGCGCAAGAACGTGCAGTTCCTCTTCATCCGCTTCAGCGCCTGGCAGTATGCGGGCACGGACAAGCTGTGGGCCGGGCTGGTGACCACGCTGTGCGAGGGCATCCGCCACCACTACGGCGCGCTGCCCTTCAGCGTGTACTCGGTGCTGAGCAACAAGCCGGGCACGTCGCCGGGTTTCTCCCAGCGCGAGTGGCACTGCCGGCTTCGCGTGTGCCTGGCGCTGGTGGCGCTGCTGGCGGCGCTGGGCCTCGGCGTGGGCCTGCTTTACCTGTCCCTGAACGGCCACGCGCTGGGCCACGCAGGCGCCAGCGGCAGCCTGCTCAAAGCGTTTGGGGGCGCGGCCACCACGCTGTCGGGCTCGGGGCTGCTAATGGCCGTGTACTCGGTGGGCAAGCACTTGTTCGTGAGCCAGCGGAAGAAGATCGAGCGGCTGGTGTCTCGCGAGAAGTTCGGCAGCCAGCTGGGCTTCATGTGCGAGGTGAAGAAGGAGGTGGAGCTGCTCACAGACTTCTTGTGCTTCCTGGAGATCTACCAGAGGCGGCGCCTGCGCGTCGTGCTCGAGGTCACCGGGCTGGACACGTGCTACCCGGAGCGCGTAGTCGGCGTGCTCAACGCCATCAATACGCTGCTGTCTGACAGCCACGCGCCCTTCATCTTCATCCTGGTCGTGGACCCCAGCATCCTGGCTGCGTGCCTTGAGAACGCCGGCAGCATGAAGGGCACGGCCGACAACGGCTACCTCTTTCTCAACCGCACGGTCACACTGCCCTTCTCAGTGCCCATCATGGGCCGCCGCACCAAGCTGCAGTTCCTGCACGACGCCGTGCTGAGCCGCGACGACCTGCTTTATCGCGAGATCACGCGCAAGCTTCGGCCGGCGGGCAGGAGCCGGGAGGAGGACGCTGAGGGCGCGAAGCTGTTGGCGGTAGAGATGCAGGCGGGCGCCGAGGGCGGGCAGAGCCGCATTGACGCCGAGGCGGCGCGCCGCATCCAGGAGGCGCTCTTGTGCTTGCACGACGAGAGCGACTGCCTTTACGAGTACGTGCCCGACAACGTGGTGTCCATGCGGCGCATCGTCAACACCGTGCCCATCACCGTGCGCCTGTTGCAGCAGCAGCAGCAGCAGGGAGACTTTGTGGGTCCCACGCCGCGCCAGGCCGTGGCTTGGGTCGTGCTCGCCAACCAGTGGCCATGCCGCCTCAGCTGGGTGCTGCAGTGTCTGGAGGACCGGCAGCAGGTCGGGGGCGCGCCTGAAGGGGGCGCGCGTCTCTGGGACGTATTCTACGACAACAGCCGGGAGCTCCACTCTATGACCAAAGCATTACAGAACGTGCTTGACCTGGACGGAGACCCAGAGCTCTTCAAACGCTTCCTGGACGCCGACTTCCCTTTCACCGTGGCGGAGGCGCAGAGCCTGCTACGCTGCACTGTCAACCTGGACCACTCCATCCGCCGCCGTATGGGTCTCATCCGCGCGGTCAGCACGCTCAAGCCGCCCAGCCCGCCCACGTCCCCTGCCAGGGATGCCTCCCACGCCACCGGCAGAGCCACCGCCACTGCTAGGGCATCCCCCTCGGGCCATGCCCACAGAGCCAATAACACCTCCCGTTCATCAGGCCACGATGCAGGACACGCCTCCGTGCCTGCCAGCAACGCCCACCAACCCCGGGAGTGGGCCAAGGGGGACAAGCCACAGCCCCTGGCCTGAGCGCCCTTCCCTTCAGGGGAACCTAGTGGCCCCTGCAGGACTGTAAGCAGCAGGGGCGGTCACTCCTCGTCTGCCCAGATGAGGGCACAGAGGCCCCTACTGGGTCCAAGGCCCAGGGTCCATTGTCCAGAATCTGGGGTGAGGCCTGTGATGGCCGAGTGCCCCAACACAGCCCTTGGCAGCAGCCCCCAGGACTGGGGTGGTCTCTGAGAGCAGGTCCAGGACCAGTGAGGAACTCAGGGTTCAAGTGCAATAAACGATCACGTGCTAGGCCCCTTTGGTCTTTATGCCCCGGCCTCACTTGGCTTGGTGAACAAGGTGAGACCTGCCACACCCCTCAGGGCTGCAGGCTGGCAGCCTTGCCACTGGCATCCCAGGCGTCGAGGGGCTGTGGGCAGGGCTGCGGAGGCCGGGGAGACAGAAGACAGGTGCACTGGACTGACTCAGGTGGAAAGCGCCAGGCCTCAGGGAATCCAGGTCCTCGTCCCCAAGCCCTACCCTGCGCCTCCGTGGGCAGGGCGGGAGCCAGGCTGGCATTTCCGAGGGCTGTGTCCCCGGTGACCTCAGCAGGCTGCTCCACCCTCAGTGTAATGGCTTAATTAGGCCTTATTGGCACTTGTGCCAGCTGGGGTGGGCGGCGTGGCCTCCCAGGAAGTAACTGTCCAGGGCCACCCAGGAATCACAGGCTTGTCACCAACCAGCCCCATGAGGAGGAGCTGAGGACAGGGATGTTGGGGGGCAGAGATGAGGGCACTTGAAGCCCAGCTCCATCCTGCCCCTTCCCCACACCAGCTGGAGACCTCAGAGATGGCACTCCGGTGGGCAGTATCAAGCCCCTTATCGGTCAGCTATTTAGCCACACCCTCAGGACTGGGCCGTGCTGGACCCTGTCCAGTGGAGGGAAGGTAAGGGAATGACTTTGGAGTCGGGGCCAAAGGTGGAAGGGACATTCTCACAGGGGCCCAAGAGCTGTGCTTGGCAGAGGCACCCACCCTCAGAGCATTCAGTCAGGGGCTAGCTGCTCACTCCCCTGGCCACAGTGTACGCAGTACCCCAACCACCAGTCCTGTAATTGTCACAGGGAACTGTCGGGACCAAGGTGCTGTTTTTCCATGGCTAAGGCGCTTGACTGCTAACCAGAAGGCTGGTGGTTCAAACCCACCAGCCACTCCTCGGAAGGAAGGTTGGGCAATCTACTTCCATAGTGATCCTGCCTTGGAAACCCAAGGAGGGGTTGCTATGAGTCAGGTTTGACTTGACGGCACCTAACAAGCAGCAGCTGGTGGGATAAGCCCAATCTGCTGGGAGATGTCCTTCCAACAGCAGGGCAAGCCCGCCCCGAAGGCAGGCCCGGTGAGGCTCAGCGCTTGGAGAGGGGCAGCCTGGGATACTGTCTGACTAGCGTGTTTGCAGGGGATCTTCGGAGTCCATTGCTCTCCTCGCCCTTCCCTTTAGCTGGTGCCGTGGGAGCTGGTTCGTTCGTTCTTACCATCTAGAGTTCAGGCTGAGAATGAGTCAGTGCCAGGAGTGGGGGCGCTGCAGGAGGCAGACTGAGGGGGCATGTGCTGGAGACTGGGAGCAGGACCAGAGTCTTAGGAAGGAGCAGCAGGCGGCCGCCAGGGAGGTGGCACCAAGCAGGTAGATCACTGCCCCTCTTATCTTAGCTTTTGACCACGTGCTGCCCAGGAACAAGTTTTGGGGGACTTTGTACCAAAATAAGAGAGAACCAGGATGTCAGTGACTGGGGTGGCTGAGCTGCTCCCTGCCACCAGGATTCACGCTTCCTCTACCACGTGGAACGTTCACATCAAGACGAGGCCATGGGACTAGCTGTAACCATCACAAAGGGGGTGGAAGTGATGTGTGTCCCTTGCTCACTGTGGTTCTGGGGTAAGTGGCAGCTTGGCCTCCACTCTCCTCCCGCACCTGGCTGCTGGGTCCAGGACCTCTGCAGCCCCCGGCAGTGACAGAGCTACAGGAGGGAAGGGGCCTGGGGCCTGGAATCCCCGGGAGGGAAGCTGCTGGCGACCCTGACCCTCCTGGGCAAAAAGCAAGCTCTCCTCCAGGACGTGGAGATGGTTAAGGTGTGGTGTTGGCTCTAGTCCGGTGAGGAAATGGCCAGGCGCCTTCTGGAAAGGCTACCAAACGTGACACCCTTGGAGCATCTGCTCCACGCCGCGGGCTCCCCCTCGTGGTGATGCCGGGAGTGTCAGTAGAACCCCCCCCCCGTGGGGTTGTCAAAGTTGTGACTTGTGGAAGCAGATCGCTAGGCTGTCCCTCCGAGGGGCCTCTGGTGGGTGTAAACCAGTGACCTTTGGGTTTGCAGCTGAGTGCGTGACCGATTACACGACCCAGGGACACCTGTGGCTGAAGGCAGAGGGGCGTGAGTACCAGCGCGGCCAAGGGGTTCCTCTCTGCCTCCAGCCCACAAAGCTGGACCCTGGAAAGCCAGGAGCTGCCAGCGCTCCTAAGGTGGGAAGGCCCGATGCTCACCCCAGTCCTCTCAGTGCCGGCGAAGGCAGGGACGGGCGGGGCAACAGGACGGGAGCCAGAGAATCTTGGGCTGCTCCTCGAAGGCACACCTGGGGCAAACAGACTAAGTCCCCTGCCCCAACCTCTGACTGGCTGTGCCTGGAGGTGGAGGCTGAGTGCAAGGGCACAAGAGCCCCAAGCCCTGCGGCCGAGGGCCAGCAGCCCGCTGAGGGCCAGGGTCATGAGCAGTGAGGCTTTGAGACCCCATCCTGGTGGGGAGCTGTGGCCCCTCAAAACTCCAGACAATCCTCACGCGTGAGTCCCGAGCAGCCCGGGAGGGGCCCCTTCCTACACTCGCCTCACTGTCACGAGAGCTTTGCCCTCCAGTGCCCACGGCCAGGCTGCAGGCCCTTCCCCAGCTGCCCGCAGGCCAGGGCAGGCGCCACAGACAGGTGGCGGTTACTCTGCATGAAGGTTCCCAGACCCCTCTCCTGAACAGTCTTGACTCTGCTTGTCCTCCGGGGCATGAGGACCTTCGGAGCTGCAAGTGACAAAGGAGCAAAGCCACTGGCCCGAGCAGTAAAGATGCCAAGAAGGCTGGGGCAGAGGTCTCAGGGTTTGTTCAGGGGCTAAGCTGACCAAGGCTTCAGGTCCGGACAATACTGGCCTCCGAACAGGAAACGTGTGTGTGCGTGTGTGTGTGCGTGTGCGTGCGTGGCTGACGGCAAAGGCCTCTGAACAGGAAACGTGTGTGCGTGTGCACGTGGCTGACGGCAAAGGCCCTCCCCCTTGTGTGGTTCTCCTTCTGCAAAGGACAGAGCCCCTCCTCGGACACACGCTACAGCTCATCCCAGGCCCAGGCCGAAACAGGGCAGGATTTCCAGAAGGGCTCCCTGAGGGCTTGTGCCCTGGGCTGGGACGGTGGCTGACGGGGGTGGGAGGAGATGGCTGGGCTCTGTCAGCGAGGGTCACATCCATCACCTGAGATCCTACACCTGGAGCTGGAACTACTGGGGTGCTTCCCCCTGAAGGGCAGGTGGCCAGGCACGGGGCTATGGAAGTACGTGTGCGCATGTCTGTGCCTGTGCAGAGAAGGGGCATGTGCCCAGCACCTGTGCACACACCCACCTGGGCAGCAAGGTGGGGTGGGGGGAGGGTAACAGTGGGAAGACATGGCCCCTGCACACCAGCCTCTGGTTTTCCTCTGGGGAACCACTGGTGAGTAACCGGCTGATGTCCCCCACGGGGGGGGGGGGGGCTTGTGCCCGTGGATGATGAACCCCAAAAGTCACCCGCAGGCGGACAGTGAACCGCACAGGTCCCCCGTGGCAGGAGAGTGAACCCTGCAGGCCCCCGGTCATACACAGTAGGTAGATGGTGAACCCCACAGGCCCCGGGTCACACACGGCAGGCGGACAGTGAACCCCGCTCTAGTTTATTAGAAAAGGTGTGAACAGAGTTGCACCAACAGGAGCAGCCCCTCCCCCCTACCCTTACACCCCCCCCCCCCGTTGTAGTGCCTCTCAGGGGCGCAACCACAAGTGGCCTGGGCAGTAGGGTCCCCAGAACCCTGGCTGCTCCCGCCCCAGCTCCCTGATAGATTTATTGCACTTAAGAAAAAAGAAAGCTCCTATCCTCTGCTCCTGTGCCCCGCCTGTCCGGCCGTCCCTCGCCCACCCGCCCCGGGCCGGGCTCTGTTCCAGGTGCCACCACCGCTGTGCGCACAGCCCCCGTCCTCCTGCCTGGCCGGGCCTCAGGAGACTATCCCACCACCACTGAGGACGCCTGCCCAACCCCGGAAAGCCTGGCACAACAGACCTCCAGACAGGGCTGGAGCCGGCCCCGGCCCCACGGCCCCACGGCCCCGTCCGTCTCCTGTGCCTCCATCCACTCCCAGCCCAGAGTCTTCAAGCTGGACACGCAGCCGAGGGCTGAAGTCAGGGGCCACTCCCTGCAGCTGCGGCACCGTGCAGTGCTGCTGGGGGGGGGACAGCCGCCACCCCCGGCGTCCTGGCCTCAGGAAGGCTGGGGTGGGTGAGCCGCCTCATGGCTCTGGCCTCAGCTCATCGCAGATCGATGGAAAAAAAGGAACTTGGAGAGGAGAGAGGGAGACGGGTCAGGACGGGGTGGTGCTGCCGAGTGCCCCCAGACCTGGCCGCCCCCTCACCTAAAGTGTCACAGTGTCTCCTGCCCGGACTCCTGACTGGCTTCCAGAAGCAGCTCCTCCAGCTCCTTCTCGTTGTTGGAGCAGCTCAGCTCTGCGGGGAAAACGGGGCTCAGTTCTGGGGGGTGGGGGCACGGGACAGGGGCTCAGCTCTGTGGGGGGGCCCGCAGCTCTGGGGGGGAATGGGGGCTCAGCTCTATATTGGGAGGAATAGGGACTTAGCTGTGTGTGGAGGGGAACTGGTGGGGAGGCCTTGGCTCTGTGCGGGGAGATGGTAGGGATGACGGCACCGCCCCTCCCCACCCCCAGGGATCCAGGTAGGCAGCGTGGAGCCGTAACCAGTCCCACGTACCCTGCACCTTCAGCGGGGAACACCAAGGACCCCTGAGGGCAGGTGCTGGCCTAGGATCCTACTCAGCACCCAGGCCAGCCCCTCCTTGTGCTCAGGCCCCGCCCACCCTGCCCCAGGAGCACCTCTCACCATGTTCCAGGCCCCGCCCACCCTGCCCCAGGAGCGCCTCTCACCATGTTCCAGGCCGCAGCTGGCCCCCTTGGCCTCAGGCCCCGGGGGCGGCTCCGGGGGCAGTGCCAGGGCAAACTCGGGCTTGAGGCCATTGGGCAGCAGTGGTGCTGACTGAGGCGCCTCCGGCTGTGGCTGGGGCTCAGGCACCCCTGGGTCCTGGGTGCTGATGGCCTCGGCTGGTGGAGAGGCAGGGGCGGAGGGAGGGGCGGGTGGGGACCCAGGGACGGGCAGGGCAGGGGGCGCTGCCCTCTCAGGCGGACTCTCCACCCGGGTCACCACAAACACCTTGTGGCCGCGGCCCGGGCTGGACACAGAAATGCGCTGCTCCGTGGGGGAGGAGGGGCTGCCTGAGGGGGTCCTGTCCCCAGGGCCCAGGGAGTCCGTGGGGGGCACCAGGACGGGGCAGGGAGCAGAGGGACTCTGGTCGCCGTTGGCCTCCTCCTGCTCCCGGTCCTCCTCCTCCTTGTCCTCCCCCTCAGAGTCTGAGTCCGAGTCCCGGCCGGGCCCGGGGTCCGGGGGCCCGTTCTCCTGCGCCTCGGTGGCGGGCTCCTCCCCGGGGCTGGCGGGCTCGTTGTCGGGCTGGGGCGCCGTGACAGTGATCTCTGGCATGGAGGCCGACAGCTGCAGCCGCTGCTCCTTCTCCTCGCGCTCCCGCGTCAGCACGAAATTGCGCTTGCAGCCGTTCTGGATCTCAGCGAGCAGGGCCTTCTGCGTCTCGATGAAGCTCTTCACCTGCGGGGGGACGGGCCTGGCTAGGGGTCTCACCAGACCCCGCCAAGGCGCCTGGACTGCTTGGCCCGGGTACACAGCCCCCTGGCAGGGCCCCTCCCCTGGCGCCACTGCCACCCAGCTCACCGCCTCCTTCTTGGGCTCGCGGTCGAGGTCCAGGCGCAGCAGGGAGTGGTTCACCTTGAGGGCCAAGGACAGCGCCATGAGCCCGCCCGTCTTGATCTCGTTCTCCCGCAGGTCCAGTCTCAGGAGGCGGGGGCTCTCGGCGATGAACTCCGCCACGGCCACCGCGCCTGGGAGGGGGACCGCAGGGCTGGCCACGAGCCCCACGCCCGGCCAGCTGCCCACAGCCCGCGGCCCTGCCCGCCTGCCCCCTCACCCTCACACGTGAGCTTGGTGGAGGCCAGGCCGAGGCGCAGCACACTGCGGTTGCCAATGAGCCCGTTCTTGAGGTTCCGTACCCCCTCGTTCCCGATGGGGTTGTGGCCTAGGTTCAGCGTCTCCAGGCTCTGAGTGTGCGGCTGGGGGGGGGGCGGGACGGGAGACAGTGAGGGGGAGCCCGTTGGTGGAGGAAAGGCCCAGAAGACTAAAGCAGGAAGAACCAGACAGAGAGGCGAGCACACCGATTTTTACCTTGGAGCCCGGATTTTTCCTGGAGCCCGGGGTTCCTGCCAAACCCTTGTGTGTGCTTAGAAATTTTCCCCCCCTGATTTTTCCCAAGACAGGCTCACACCCCACAGCCTGCCTGGGCTGTGGGCCTGCCCTGGGCTCCTCCCTGCAGCCTGGCTGGTGGTAAGGCTGCGCCTCACACCCCTACGCCTCCCTCAGGACTCAGGGGGCTCAGCCTTAAAATACTGCATAGAAAAAAGATGGAAAACTCATCAAAGGCTTCTGGAAATACTAACTCATTACCCAAAACATTCCTACGTTATGCAAACAATGTATTAGGTTGTTGGGTTAGATGCCTCCTAAAAAAACCCCACGTCTACCAAGCTGGTTGAGACTGGAGGGTTCCTGGAATCTACTGCCTTGAGGTAGTCCTCAAACCCTGAACTGAAACTAACCCAAGGTCTCCTTGTAGCTACATAACACATTGGCTCCAAAAATGACGACTATCACCTGTAAGTACTGCGACCCTATAAAACACCACCAATATGAGACCAAACGGTCCCTAATTACCTTAAAACAGAGATGAAAATGTAAGGAGGCAGGGAAACTAGATGAATGGAAACAGAACGAGAACGGAAATGGTGGGAATGTTTGTGCATGAAAAACAGAACCAGTGTCAGTGAACAATCAGTGTGGAAGTCACCGGGTGGGAACCTACACTGCTGGGTAAGTCTTCCCTGAAAACATAACTATTAGATAAAAAAGGAAGGACCGTTATTTTCTTCAAGGAAGATACGGTGTAGACGCAGAATGAGAGACCACACCAGGGTGATGAGTGAAGGGTCCCAGAAGCAGTGGGAGGAGCAGGACTGGATGTGACAACCGGAAGGAGTGTGTTGAAGGCTGTAATCGCATGGCCGACTGGTGGAGTGGGGGCAAGGGCCAGGATGCCCCTTCGAGCCCCCGGCCCACTCACCAGTGTGCCTGCCCCCTGCTACTCCCCAGTGCCGTGCCCAGGGAGGCCGCGCCTGTGTGCCCGCCCCCCTGCTACTCCCCAGCGCCGTGCCCAGGGAGGCCGCGCCTGTGTGCCCGCCCCCTGCTACTCCCCAGCGACGTGCCCAGGGTACTCACCAGCGCCGTGCCCAGGGAGGCCGCGCCTGTGTGCGTGAGCTGGTTGTTCCACAGGACCAGGGTGGCCAGCCCCTTCCTCTGCTCCTTGAGGCCCTCACAGATGTAGGCCAGCCCTGGGGAGATCGCTGGTCAGAGCCCACCCGAGGTCCGGGAGCTGCCACAGCCGCAGCCCGGAGCTTCTTCAGGGGACATCACTGTGGGAGTGACTGACTGCCTGGAGCACACACTAGGGGCCAGGGTGGAGAGGTATGTGGCCTTGCTCAGACCCCTCTGAGGCTCCATCCTGGCCCCCAGGCACTGGCCCTGCTTGGGGCCAGGACACACACAGCTCCCTTGGCTGGCAACGTGCCTTCCCAAGGTGCCTGGACAGTGGCCTCCCTGCCAGTTTGGCCCTCAGCTCACAGCTCCCCGTCCCACCGAGGGGCCCTGGCCAGCTGGCCCTCAGGAACCACTGCAGCTTCCCTGTCCCCGTCTCTCCACTGCATGTCACCACCAGACAGACCCAACAGCTCAGTCACTGGACGTGGGTCTCCCGGCTACAGCAAGGCGCCATGAGGACAGTGGGGTGTCTCCCTGCAGCTGGGAGCCTGGAGCCTGGAGTGGGCCTGGCACAGAATGGGCTCAGCCTCCATCTACTGAGGCAGGAGTGACACACGTGGTGCCTGGGCCTGGCCACCGGGGGAGGCCCTCCTCTCTGGTCCTCACACAAAGGCCAGAGGCTGCTGCTCGAGAGACCCAGATCCCTCTCACCCTGCTCTCAGGGTCACAAGGACCTACTGGCCTGCCCCCCACTCACTTGCTCTCCATGGCTTCTCCCCAAAATATCAACCATACAAACTGTTCCCACCTCAGGGCCTTTGAACCTGCTGTCTCCTCTGTTTGGATTCTTTTCCCAGGCTTGGCAAATGGCTGCTTCTGTTCTGGGAGCTCTGGTGGCATACTGCCTGAGGCATATGACTGCTAACCAGAAGGCTGGCAGTTCAAACCCACCAGGCACTCCTTGGAAAGAAGACTGGGCAATCTACTTCCATAGAGATACCACTTGGAAACCCAAGGAGGGGTCGCTGCGAGTTGGATCGACTCCACGGCAGTGAGTAGTAGTGGTGCTTCTGTTCTGACCCTCTGATCTCTGCCCAGATGTCCCCTCCTCCAGGGCACCCTCCCCCCTCACATGTTCAATAGCTCTCTGACAGATCCTCCATCTCTACAATGCTGATTCCTTCAGGGAACTTCCCACAGACTGTCATTCCCCTAATGGTTTATTCAGTTCCTCAGCTCTTCCTCCAGGAAGCCCTTCCTGATTCCCACCTGGGCCAGTCACCCTCTCTGGGTTCCTGCAGTCCCAGCTGACTACTGTGGGTCATCTCTGTCTGGGGACGGGTCTGTCCTCCACTAGACCGTGAGCATGGAGGCGGGGGGTAGGGGTAGGGCTGTCCTGGTCTCCGTGGTGTCCTAGCACTGCCCGGCCCAGGACTGGGGCCAGCCTGAGTGGGTGCTGGGCGGGCGGGGCCTACCCGAGTCCAGCACGTGGTTGTTGCGGAGGTCTAGGATCTGCAGGGAGCAGTTGAACTTGAGCAGGTTGCCCAGCTGGGCCGAGTCCTGCAGGCCGTTGAGCTTGTTGTCGGCCAGGTACAGCTCCCGCAGATTCATGTTCATCTTCAGGGCTGTGGCTGCAGGGCCGGCAGTGAGCGGACAGGCTGCTGCCCCCGAGGCCCCCAGCTGCCGCCTGCCCCTTGCCCTCCCGGGGCTCACCAAGCAACATCAGGGGCCGCCCTGACAGGCTGGCGTTCTCCAGGTGCAGCACAGCCAGGCTGCTGCGGATACGCAGGGCGCGGGCCACAAAGGGTGCCGAGTGGTCCAGCAGGGGTGTGTTGCGGGCGTCCAGGTACTGCAGGCAGCTCGTCTGTGGTGGGGAGCAGTGGGGGTGGGGCTGGGTCAGGCCTGGCCCCAGCCATCCCTGCCCCAGGGGACCGGCCCTCTGCATTCAGAGGTCAGCAAGGCCACAGGTGTCATCTAGATTTATAGCTGGGGACACTGGCTGGTGAGGGAAAGGCCCCAGACTGGGTCCCCTGGGTGAGAGGCAGGTTGGTGTGGCAGGCAACCCCCCCGGCTAGCCCCATCTTCTCCCCGACCTGGCATCGCTGTATGTGGAGTGGGGACGGGCACATGATGGAGAAGGGAACACATGCCTTGTAGGGAGAGAAGGGGTGAGGGCGGGCCTGGTGGGAGGAGGGTGAGGGGGAGAGAGAACAGCCCTGCTTCCCAGTGGCCCAGAAGCTGGGGCCCAGTCCCTAAGAGCCTACAGCGAAGGGCTGGGTGCCCTGGGCCAGCCCTGACTCCCTCACAGAGGCTGAGGGGGGCCCACCTTACGCATCATGTGGGCGGCAGCCTGCCAGCCCCGGGTGCCGATGTGCTTGTTGAAGGAGATGTTGAGGTGGGTGGCCGACTCGTAGTACTCAATCATGTCAAAGAGGGCCGAGGCACCCTGTGGGCAGAGACGACGAAGGGGGTCTGACTCGGTCTCAAGTCAAGGCTGCCCTGGGCGAGGCGTGTGGCCACAACACAGGATTCTACAAGGACGAGGGGGCCAGGGAGAAGGGTGCGTGCAGACGGGGCACCCTCCCCGGGAGGTGGGGCTGATCCAGCTGCTCCTGCAGCACAGTGCCGCCTGACCTCTGGGTCCCAGGCAGCACTGCTCCCTTCCCGGCGGAAGCAGCCTATTATCCGGATGCCACCCAGAGTGGCCCTGACGTATGTGCTGTGCACGCGACCAGGCCAGGCCTCTCTCCCCCACTGGGCCGCTTGCAGCCAGAGACCCCGGGTTCCGGGTGGGGGAGGTGGGAACACCTGGGCCTACAGGGAGGCTGCTTCCAGGTGTTCCTGCAGCCCTTCCTCCAGGTACTGTTATCCACAGGGTGGGGTCCTGGAGGCTCCCAGGGGCCCCACACCTCCCCCTGCTTCTCCCCGGTTTACAAATGCTCCCACCTCTGGGCCAGTGTGTGGGGCCTCTTCCTCTGGCCTCAGCCCTGGGCCAGCCCCCCTGCATGCACTCTGGTCACGCAAATGTCCCTGCTGTGACCTTCAGGAGGCCCTGCTTGTGCACCATCCCCGAGCCTTTGTCCAAGGGCTTCCTGCCCCTGTAAGGTCCCCTTCCCCCCAACCTCCAGGGGCCTGACGCCTTGGGGAGCAGGTCTGTCTTGCGGGGTGGGGCGGCTGCTCACATCTTCATCCAGGTTCGTCTGCTCCAGGTCCACGACCTTGAACTGCAGCCTCTTAAAGACTTCCTCCAGGGCCTCACAGGTCTTGTAGTCAAGCTTCTCCCCTGGATAAGACAGAGTGGCCAGCTTGTGTGTCTGAGACACTAAGCCAGGGGAGTGTGTGCCTAAGGGCAGCTGACCAGAGGTGCAGGCTCTGGGCTTGTGAGGAACGGGGGGTCCCTGGCCCCTGCCACCTGCCACCTGCCCTGGGCTTGCTGCACCTGCAGGCGGCTCCCACCCTGCCTACTACCTAGGAGCCCAGTACCTCAAAGAGCCTCCCACCCTGCCTACTACCCAGCGACTCAGCCTCTGTGTAGATACCTACCTTTCAGGTCCAGACAGTCGATGCGGTGCCCAAGGTCCGTGAACTCCTGGGAGAGAAGAGTGGCCAGTGGTGAAGTTGGGCAGAGGCCCCCACAGGCCATGGGGGGCTGGGGGGGACTCCAGAGGCTGGAGCCCAGGATGCAAGGCCTCAGAGAGTAGGGTCAGGGCAAGGGTGTCACCCTGTCACTCCAGCCCAGCGTCCCTTCCTGGCCACCAACATCTTCCAGCCACTCCTGGTTCTGTTCGCGCCCCACCAGGCACCAGGCCCAGTTCTCTGGGTTTCTCACACATGAACCCATGGGGCGGTATTGTGATGAACTCCAATGGCAGATGAGGCTAAGGCCCAAGCCTGGTCCAAGGTCAGAGGACCTGCAGGGGGCAGGCCGGTCTGCCGCAGGGCCTGTGCTCCTGGCTGCCACACTGCAGGCCTTCTTCTCCTGGATCCGGCAACGCCCCCTTCTGGAACAGCCTCCCCCCAGAATTGCTAACCCAGGTGCACAAAGACGGGCGAACTTGACTGCTCACAGCGGACCTGAAGGGGAACAACCCTGGGAACAAGCAACCTTGGGACACTTCGGAACAATGCACACACGGGAAGGCACCGAGGCATCTTGCCCTGCGGGGGAGAAGCATGCTGCAGGAGTGGCAAGGAACGGGCACCAGCCGGGCCCATGCACGCCGGAGGCCAGCCACTGTGCACGGGCAGCACAGGGACGGCCAGAGGAGGGAGAAGCGGAGAAGCCACGCTGCCAACAGGGCGCTCTGCGGGGGGACCCGGGCAGGAAAGAAGAGCCGATTTTGCTTTCTATGTCCATGTGATTTCAACTTTTGAAAATCGGAGAATATTACTTTCATAATTAAGAATTTTAAGTATAATCTGCTCTGTAAACTTTCACCCAAACCACAGTAAAAATTAAAAAAAAAAAAAGACTTTTAAGTATAAACATTCACTGCATGATTCTGACAACTGAACTCATAGCGACCCTCACTGGGTTTCCGAGGTGATCAGTCTTTATGATTGCCTCATCTTCCTTTCGTGGAGTGGCTGGTGGGTTTAAACCGCCAACCTTCTGGCTAACAGTCAAATGCTTTAGGCACTGCACCACCAGAGCTCCCTTCAAATAAAAAAAAACCAAACTCAACTGTCCTCAATTCGATTCTGACTCATAGCGACCCCTCCTTGGGTTTCTGAGGCAGTACCACTACGGAAATAGATCGCCCAATCTTCCTTCTAAGTAGTGGCTGGTAGGTTTGAACCGCCAGCCTTCTGGTTAGCAGTCAAATGCCTTAGGCACTACGCCACCAGAGCTCCCCTTAGAGGTGACAGACAACTTGAATTTTTTATTTTATATAATTCTGTGCTATTTGCAGGTATTTATGAGAGATCGGGGGTTTGAACTCACCAACTGCTACTCAGGAGAGAGATGAGGCAATCTGTTTCCTTAAAGATTACAGCCTTGGAAACCCCACGGGGCAGTTCTACTCTGTCCTCTGGGGGTGCCGAGTTGGAATCCACTCAATGGCAACTGGTTACACATATTTCTAAGAGCCTGATTACTTGTGCCATTAAGAGAAAGATTTTGCAGGCAGTACTCAACACAGGCCCCCTCAGGGCCCCCGTTCTGTACCTCACCTGGGGCCAGGCTGGAGGACAGAGCCCTCTCCGGCCCACTGCCCACCCGCGCACCCCGCCTCCTACCTGCAGCTGCCGCAGGAGCTTGGGAATCTGCCTGCAGTTCAGCTTCTGGCAGGCCTGCTTGTAGGCGCCGATGACCTCGTCCACAGTCACGTTCTGGGCTGCAGGCACAGAGGACCAGCACCGTGACTCCCCACACCCGGGGCCCTCGCCGGCCTTCCCCAAGCCCACCCCCTTCCTGCCTCCAGGCCTCTGGCAACACTCCTTGCCCTCTCAGTCCCCCTCGACATCATGCCCCCTTCAACGGCCACCGAGCTGTCCTCCCTTCCGGGCCTGGCCGCCCACTGCTCCCTGGAACCCCACCCCCGACCAAGCCACCAGGGGCGTACCCCATGCACTGTGCCCACTCTCTCCCAACGCCCTGAGCACCTCCCACAAACAGCCCACGATCACAAACATGCAATTTTCTTGTGAGCCGCCTCCCTGCTGGACTGGGAGCCCCGGGAGGGCAGGGCTGGGGCTATCTCCGTCACCCTCTCTCCGTCACCCTCGGGTCCTCAGCACCCCGGCCCAGGGCCAGGCCATGTGTTTAATTTTTTTTTTGATGGAAGCATACAACCTCACTTCCACCTTGCCTCAGGCCACACCCTGGCCCACCCATGAGAGGGGGAGGGACACAGCTTAGTCTCAATTCCACCCCCAAGTGGCCTCTGAGCAGTGGCACGTCACTCAGACTCTCTGCTCCCCGCACACCCTCAAAAGCCAAACCACCACTGATGGCGGCTACCAAGGGCCAGGCCCCTGACCTAGTGACACAGTAGGGGACAGAGGCTGGGCCCTGGGCACTCCCCCCTAAAGGGCAGTGGTTCACAGAATGAACGAAAGGCTGTACCCCAAACCCACAAGTCAGGCCCCTGTGGGAGGGGAGCCCATCGCGCACAGACGTTTCCAGGGAGGCGAGGCCAGCTGTCCGTGTGCACGAGCTCCTTTTCTGGTCGTTTCCTACCCACACACCAGGGTCCCGGCCAGCTGCCGTCCCTGAGCTCGGCTCTGAGCTTGGTTCCCTTCCCTGCTGAACGGACTGTGTGACAGCCTGCTCTGGTGCTCCGGCCCCAGTCACGGGGTGTGGTCTGTTTTTAGTTTCTGGCTATTAGATCTTGGGTTTTAGCAAAGGGGCCAGGAGAGAGGAAGAAGCTTATAAGCAGGAGGAGCAGGGTCAGAGCTGGTGTTAGGGAGACTTCCTTGGGGCCATCAAGTAGGCCCCCACATCTTCTCGCTTCTTCCTGAGGGACAGGGGCGTGGGCGGTGGGGCCTCCCAGGAGTCTGCTGCCCCTTCTGCAGCCCAAGATGGGGCCTTTGGCAAAGACTCATGCTCTTGGTACCCCACCCCCCGCTCCAATGGGGACAGGAGCAGGGCATTCAACCAAACCCATGTTAATGGGGGTTCAGGAGCCAGGAAGTTCACTGACAACCAAGAGGCCATGAACTTGAACAGGGAAAAATGACTTTTTTTTTTTTCCCCACTAACCAAAATTTACCATTTACTGCCTATTAACGTACGAGGGGGGGGGGTGTTAGCAGATCCGTGGCTTTGTCATCAAGAGAAAGCCCCATCACGGGACAGTTACTGCAGACATCAAAGGCTCACACCCCCATGGCAACAGTCTTTCTATATGGCATCTGCCACCACACCCCATCATTTCACAGTCAACAGGAACCCACTGCCGGCAAGTCAATCCCAACCCTGCAGGGCAGAGGAGAAATGCCCCCGGGGTTTCCCGGGATGTCATCACTGGGGAGGCACACTGCCTCTTCCTTCTCCCAGAGGGGCTGGTGCGTTTGAACTGCCGACCTTTCAGTTGGCAGCCGGCCACTCTAACTACTGCACCACCAGAGTGTCGTGTCGGTGAGAGCATCAACAGTGGCTTATCCCCACAGGGTGGCAGCACGCTCTCCTTTTCCTCCCGGTCCCTCCGTGTCTTCCCATCTTGGTTTTGTGCAAACGCTGTCCTCTGGTCCCGTACAGCTGCCTCTGAGGAGCGCAGCGTGCACGCTCTTTGTTCTGTAGTCCCATCTGCCATCGGGCTGCAAGGCGGCCTCTGGGAGCGGCCTCAGTCCCCAGTCACACATTGAAGGCTTTCTCTAGTCTGTGTCTGACCACAGGAAGTCTGGTCTTTTTTTTTAAATTTTAGTCTACATTTTCTTTTCCCCATTCTAACCAGGACTTTCTATTGTGGTCTTGGTCAGAGTGGGCAGTAGTATCACTGGGCACCATCTAGTTCTTCTGGTCTCCAGTTAGAGGGGGCTGGCGTTCATGTGGTTATCAGTCCTCTGGACCAACTGCTTCCTTGAGTTTTCCATTTTCCTTTGTCCTTCTGTTCTCTAGGCAGGACCATTCTATCTTCTGCCTTGTTTGAGAAAGGGCCCACAGGTTTCCTGGAGTCAAAGGGCAAGAACACTGGCCCCAGGCAGACACTTCAGTAAAGGGCCCCTAGACTGGGCTGGCCTGGTCACATGCAACAAGGATGAAGTGGACACATGGCACACAGGGGCTGCTATTACCATCACTAATGAGTCTCAGAGTTCCAGACAGTCTACAGGACTCATTCATAGTCAAGTACTCAAACTGCTATGGGATCCTTTAGGTGTTTGTCTCTAATGGCCCCTCCTCCAGGAAGTCCTCCCTGACTGTCCTATGGCTGCCCTTTTCCAGCCCTGCCCACTGCAGCTCCTCACTGCCTAAGGATGGGTCTGTCTCCCCCACTGCACTACGAGCCCATGAGGACAGGCTGAAGGCAGTCTTGGGCACCACCATGTCCAGTATCGGCAGCAGAGTCAGGCACAGTAGGCATCAGCCCATATACGTTACATGGCTGGGCAGGTGAGCTCCCATGTGGCTCTCAGAGCAGAGCAGGGAGCAGGCAATGCAGGAGTTTGTGGAACCAGCCCTGCCCTCACATGGAGCTGGGGGCTGCAGGTAGAGCCGTGGGAGTCCAGGAAAGCCGACCTAGCCTGTAGCCTCTGGGGCTGGCAAAGGTGAGAAGGGGGTGGCCAGGTGGCAGAAGAGAAGGGCGGGTGGAGAGGAAGGAAGGAGGGCGAGGGTGCCTGGATGGAAGGCACAGAGGCTGTGGGAGAAGCAGGCATCAGGCGGAGCTGCCCCAGGGTCACAACAGGCCGAGAACTTCACTGCCTTCCCAGGGTGTCCCAACCCCTGGATCACAGGGCCGAATTGCTCCGTCTTAGGGGGAAACCAAGGCTGGCGGTCACTCTGCACTCAGGTGACTGCCTCAGTGGCGGAGCTGCCTCCCCTGCTAGACTGGGAGCACTGAGAGGGCTGGGCCGGGGCTGCGCCCGTCACCACGGGGTCTCCAGCACAGGGGAGCCCTGCTGCTTAGGTCCAAGGTGGCGGCCTTTCTGGAGGGGACTGCATGATCACGGTGACTCCTGGCTCTGCAAAGACTGGACGCAGAGAGGGGCAATGCAGCCAGCACCCACCAGCTGGGCCCCGGCGCCTTCCACAGGGGAGCTCAGCCAGTCCGGGCACCTTTGACTTACGGACAACCTGTACTTGCCCCTCAATGTCATGTCAATTTGTCCTTACTTTGAAAAGAATGAACCAACCCCTACTGGCAACAAATTCACCACAATCCCCTTCCCTCACTGCGCCTGGAGCTGTTACAGCCCTAGAAAGGCTTCGAGCTTTTTCCCGCACTAGAACAAAAACTCACTGCCATGGAGTCAAGTCCCACTCATAGCGACTCTACAGGACAGAGCAGAATGGCCCCGGACGGCTTCCAGGGCTGTAAAATCTTTACAGAAGTAAACTGCCTCGTCCTTCTCCTGTGGAGTGTGGCTGCTGGGTTCAAAGCACCGGCCGTTAGCAGCCGATGTGTTAGCCACCTCAGCAGAGCTTCTTTACTTGCACCAAGAAGCCAAAACCAAGGCCATTGCCATCGAGTCAATTCTGGATGACAGTGACTCCCACTGGGTTTCCAAGGCTGTAAATCTTTATGGAAGCAGATTGCCTCATCTTCCTCCTGTGGAGTAGCAGGTGGGTTTGAACCACTGACCTTCTGGTTAGCAGCCAGATGTCTTACCCACTGTACCACCAGAGCTCCTTCTTCTTGCACGAAAGTGAGGTTAAATAACAACCTATTTCCACTTAACTACGGATTCGACTTGAAGATGCTTAGGAACGGATGTCCTTCGTAACGCAGGCCTGCCAGTTATACACACACCAGATTTTGTTCATCCACTTACCCGCTGACAGACACTGGGCAAATGTTTCTACCTTATGGCTGTCAGGAACAGCTCTTCTGGGGACGCTGGTGTACACGCACCTGTTAGAGTCCCTGCTTTCAGGTCTCCTGGGTATATACCTGGGAGTGGAACCGCCGGGCCACATGGTAATTCTAGGTCCAACTCTGCAAGAACCCGGCCAACCACGTTCCACAGCAGTTGCACTGCTTTCCCGGGCCCAGCAGTGGACAGGGCTCCCAGCTTCGCCACACCCTTGCCGACACGTGTCAGCGTCCACTGTTCGGATGTCAGCTGTCCTGGGGGGGGGGGCAGAAGCACCTTGCTGTGGGTGGTGGGTGTATCTGGACTGACATCCGGAAGCCTAGGTGACCAAGGTGCTGCTGGTGCTGCTCTGAAGGAGCTCTGGTGGGGCAGTGGGTAAGGCAACTGGGTGCTAACGTGGGAGAAAGACGAGGCGGCCTGCTTCCGTAAAGATCCACAGCCTCGGAAACCCTACGGCGGCCCCTATGATTCAGAACCAACCCAACGGCGCTGGGTTTTTGGTCTGGTGCTGCTCCTCGGTCACCGAGATGCCCCGCTGCAGCGGCCAGGCTCAGAGGCTCTGCTGACACTCTGAGCTCCTTCTCAGCATGTGTGACTATTCTGAAGACCGGCTTTGGATGACGGAGACCAAACCCAGGGCCCGGCCTGAGGAGCGCTGCTTCCGAAGCCTCCGGCTTGGCGGCTCACCTGAAGGGCATCGCAGGCCACCTGCCCAGCGCTGCTCCCGGTGCCTCCTGTGCGCCAGCACCGAGCAAGGTGCTAAGGACCCCTGGACACCACCCCTGCCAGAAAATCTGGCATGTGACGTCGGGGCGGCTCCTCAGAGGCTGGAGATGGAGCACGGGGCCTCAGCGGGCAG